GAGGATGGGCGACTACTCGTCTGGTCCTCTTCACTCCTCTATTCAGGTGAGCGATGGGTGTGTGTGATTATAACTACTACCTGTAGTAGTATTCAAACTCGCTTGTCTCATTTCCCCGCGTCGGATTATTGTAGTGCTTTTGTTTTCTTCGCCCTTGTAGTTAAACAGCTGGTTGAATGTCCATCCCCGCAGAAAATAAAACCGGTTGTAACAACAAACGCCTAGTACGATCATAACCGACTTGCACTTCCTACACCCTGGAAGAAATAAAAGGCCGTTCGTGGCGTGACCCCCGCGGGGATATAATAACTATTTGAATCGACACACGCGAGAATCTAACACGCGTTTGTATTCTGAGCGCCGCGGGGGATTTACACCTTGTGAATTGTAACCGCGGAGAATTAAACACGTTCTGATCGAACCCGCGAGTAATATAAACACCGTGTAATCGACACCCCAGGGAATTATAACCCTCTGGAATCCAAACGCCCCAGGGAATTAAATCACTTTTGATCTAACCACCCGAGGATACTTAAAACACGTCTGATCCGAACCCCCGGGGAACTAAACCCCTCTGGAATTCAACCCCCCCGGGGAATTAAAACACTTCTGATTCTAAACACCCAGGGATCTAAACCACCATCTGATGTCTAGCCACCGAGGAAACTAAACCATGTTGTAATCTGAACACCGAGGGAACTAAAACACTTTTGAATCTAAACACCCAGGGAACTAAAACACGTCTGAATCTGAACACCCAGGGAACTAAAACACATCTGAATCTAAACACCCAGGAAACTAAAACACTTCTGATCCGAACACCCAGGGAACTAAAACACGTATGAATCTAAACACCCAGGGAACTAAAACACGTCTGAATCCGAACACCCAGGGAACTAAAACACGTCTGAATCTACCCACCCAGGGAACTAAAACACGTCTGATCCGAACACCCAGGGAACTAAAACACGTCTGAATCCAAACACGCAGGGAACTAAAACATGTGTGAATCTTAACACCCGGGAAACTGAAACGCGTTTGAATATAACCCCTCGAGGGCTAAAGAATTTCTTAATCCTAACATGTCATTCTTTACCCTGAAAGCTCTGCTTTTTAGGAAGCCGCCTTCCTCAGTCTTTCAGCTTCCAGCAAACCAAGTGTGTTGGCATCAGACGGTGTGTGTGTTAAATAAAAAAATATTCTGTAAGTGTATCAGATCTAAGTTCAGATCAGTGAGTGTGACTCTTCTCGGCAGGCTGAGACTCGTCTTCACCTGAACAAGGTGCACCCTTTTATTTGTTTTACGGTTTGAGTGGAGAAACAGACAATATGTTGAGAGACCAAAGAACCACACTGAATTGAACATGTATACTACGAAGTACCAAGTATGTCGAAGTACCAAGTATGTCTAAGAGGAACATCCAAACATTCATCCAAATCTTAAAGAGTTGAACCTGAATCCAAAGTTAGTTAAAAAGACCATCCTTTATTCTGTTGTGAAGACATGTAGGAGACTAAGTTCTTCTCCAGACAGTCCACTAGGTGTTCAGCCACCTGAAAGACTCCACTAGAACCGCTAGAACATCCTCACAGCACCAATCATTTAGGTTAGTAAAGTGCTCCACAGATGAAGCAAACAACAGAACGGTGAAAACAACAGATCATTTAATAATTTAAGAACAGTTATCATAAGGCATCAATGTGCTAAAATGCAATCAAATAGAATTAAAAGCTATGATAACAGTGGCATTAGTAAAGCAGTGGGAATTGGAAATCAAAGGGAAAACAATCCACCAACTTAAAAAAAGACAGAGCAGTATAATAGAAAGACGACAACTTAAATACAATAAAAAAAGACTAGACCACACTAGAATTGGGCAGCACGGTGGTGTGGTGGTTTTCACTGTCGCCTCGCAGCAAGAAGGTCCTGGTTCCACTCCGCCCAGTGGCCTTTCTGTGTGGAGTCTGCATGTTCTCCCCGTGTCTGCGTGGGTTCTCTCCGGTTCTCCGCCTTCCTCCCCCAGTCCGGAGACCTGCTCTGGGGACCAGGTGGGTTGGGGACTCTAAATGGTCTGTAGGTGTGTGAATGTGAGTGGTTGTGTGTCTCTGTGTAGCCCTGTGATTGGCTGGTGACCAGTCCAGGTTGGACCTGTCTATCACCTGAAGTTAGCTGGGACAGACTCCAGACCCCCACGGCCCCGTGTGCAGGATAAGATGGATGGATGGACACATTAGAATTATGAAAATGTCATCAAAGTGGCTTAAAGGAGGTTTGAGGGTTTTATTTTCCACATTGATTGTCACCTATGGAGATCCATAACCTTGAACCTATCCCTATGACAGATGTATCACGTCTTGTTGTTGGAGGTGTGTGTCTGAATGCAGCTGGTTGTGTGGAGTTAATGTGTCATAGCTCACATACTGTCACCTACGAGGGGGAACCACAGCCAATTACCCCCCCCCCCCCCACCCACCTCTTTTCTGTCTGTTTTCTTCCAGAGTTTAACAGTTTTAGTTGGAAATGTGCCAAAGAATATGGAGCTGAAATAACTACAGATCAAAAATCAATAATCTGATCCTCTGCACCTCCACCCGTGTGGTCCCGTGTGGTCCCATGTGGTCCCGTGTGGTCGGTGTAACCAGATCCATATGTGAGTGGCGGGCTGTGTTCGACCGGCGCTCAGACGGAGGGGGGGTCTATGGTCTGTGGGACTCTGAGGGGCTCTGTGGGGGTTGGTGGAACACTAGAGGGGGTGGGGAGGTATGTCGGGATCTATGGGAGATCTGAAGGGACTCTTGTGGAAGAATCCTGTGAGGGGGTGTTAGAGGAGTTGATGAAGGGTCTAACCCTGCCTGGGATGAACTGTGACAAGAAGCAGCTGAGAGATTCCCTCTCTGCTCTAAACTGTCAAACAACCTGCCTCACAATGCCTCTGTGTTTATACAGAGAGAAGAATGAAGGGGGGTAGCCTTGACACCCCCTCCCTCCTCACCACAGCAGCTGAGGACCCCCTCCTATCCTGGTTTAACATTCAGAGGGAGCTTTAAGGATTCAGGTCTCCCTTATCTACAAACTGATACACGTTGTCCTCCGCTGTCTCCTACTACCCTCCCTACCCCCTTCCTTCCTTTGCTAACTCTCTCTTAGTACCAAACAAGGATTGAGCAGTGTGATGGATGAACACTGTGTGACCTTTGACCTTGGAGCAAAACACACGTGTGCGACAGCAGTTCGAAGATGAACAGATCCATCCATCCATCGTCAAACCTCTTATCCTGCACACAGGGTCGCGTCCCAGCCAACCTCGGGCGATAGACAGGGTACATCCTGGACTGGTCGCCAGCCAATCACAGGGCTACACAGAGACACACAACCATTCACACTCACATTCACACATCTGCGGGCAATTTAAAGTCCCCAATGAACCTGATCCCCAGAGCATGTCTTGTCTTTGGACTGTGGGAGGAAGCCGGAGAACCCGGAGAGAACCCACGCAGACACGGGGAGAACATGCAGACTCCACACAGAAAGGCCACTGGGCGGAATCGAACCCAGGACCTTCTCGCTGTGAGGCAACAGTGCTAACCACCACGCCACCGTGCCGCCCCCAGATGAACAGATAAAAATGATTAATTTTCTCTCAATGTGACATTTTATCTGCAGCAGAGATATAAACTTCATTGTCACTTGATGAAATGTTATTTTGTTTTGAAAGGACTGATACCTGTGACCTGTGACCTGTGACCTCCGGCGGTCCACTGTGCAAACATCACAATGTTTATTACATCATTTTATTTTTTTTTAAAAGTGTATTTGTATTTGTACTGTTTATTCTTATGATTACGTATGCAATCTGTGTGTATTCCAATTGTTTAGATGTTATGAGGACAAATGTAGCTGTTACGAGTAATCAAATACAAAGAGATGGTAGAATAAGCTGCTTTTATTGTCCATTTATTGCGGACAAGAGAAGAACCCGTGTTGCGCATGAACACTTCGATCCTGTATTCTTCAACATGTCAAAAAGCACGACTCTGCTGTCCCTTCGGACGTAAGTGGGTTACGCCAGTAATCATGTACGTTACGTATCAAACATGCACCAATTAAAATAGAGATATTATCACCTTCCCCTCCCCCACCAGCAACGACCCTCTCTATTCTGGAGAGAGACGTTAACCGGCTCTTTAGAAGACTAAATCCCCGTAAGGCAGCCGGTCCGGACTCCGTCTCCCCTCACTCCCTGAAGCATTGTGCTGACCAGCTGTCTCCGGTGTTCACTGACATCTTCAACACCTCCCTGAAGACATGCCACGTACCAGCCTGCTTCAAGGCCTCCACCATCATCCCTGTCCCCAAGAAGCCCAGGATCACAGGACTCAATGACTACAGGCCCGTCGCCCTGACCTCTGTAGTCATGAAGTCTTTTGAACGGCTAGTCCTGTCCCACCTGAAGTCCCTCACCGACCCCCTCCTGGACCCCCTGCAGTTCGCCTACAGAGCCAACAGGTCTGTGGACGATGCTGTCAACATGGCCCTCCACTACATCCTCCAGCATCTGGACTCCCCAGGAACCTACGCCAGGATCCTGTTTGTGGACTTCAGCTCTGCTTTTAACACTATCATCCCGTCTCTGCTGCAGGACAAACTCTCCCAGCTGCACCGCCCGACTCCACCTGCAAGTGGATCACAGACTTCCTGTCTGACAGGAAGCAGCACGTGAAGCTGGGGAAACATGTCTCAGCCTCTCGGACCATCAGCACCGGTTCCCCCCAAGGCTGTGTTCTTTCCCCTCTGCTCTTCTCCCTGTACACCAACAGCTGCACCTCCAGCCACCAGTCCGTCAAGCTCCTGAAGTTTGCGGATGACACCACCCTCATTGGACTAATCTCTGGT